GCCAAATTGGCAGATTCATGACATGTTGAAACATTGTGAATAGCTTTAGCTGCTCCCTCCTATACAGCTCCACACGTTTTCCCCCACTGAAAGCAAACCTTGTTTGTATTGGGTTTTTGAGCAGAAGGTATCATTAAATAGTTCTTCTGAGTATTTTAGTTATTAGTAGCTTATGACCAATAGATTTATCGCTGCTCCGTTATTCTGAGAAGTAGCAAATCCTCTGTTGTTTGTGGACAGCTACAGAAACCACAAATGATCCAATAGCATTCAATTCCTTGTGGTTTTAGAAGTGGCTGCCAAACTCTCTGGAAAGAAGCAAGGAACTTCAACTGGGACTCTTTTCAGCTTTTGAGGGGAGAAACAGAGAGAAGAACATTGTTTGTTTAAATAAAAGTTGTCCTTGGTGATACACAGAATGCAACTGCACAAAACCCTCTGCAGCCTGAGCTAAGTTTGAAGTTGTCATTTATTTGAGTCCAGAGAGCTCATGAGGTCCCTTTCAGCCTGTTTCTCAGCTTTTCTGTCTGAAATGAAGAACATTTGCTAACCATCCACAAAATGTGGGCACATAGCAGTTTCTCCATGGGAAATTTATCTAAGCTAGGTTCTGATCGATGGCTTACCTCATGTGAATGGCTCCTGTCTCATGAAGAAGTACAGATTTATTATCGATGCTATAAAGTCAGATTTGTCAAAGCTAGATGTGTCGGTTGCTGTAAAGCTGAGTCCTTAATCTTAAATTTATCTTGCAATCTGAGGTTCTAGAGGGGATGATGCTTGGGGATAAAACTGAAACATGGTCTGTATTCATAGCATGAAGCTAAATGGCTCCAGACAGGGTTAACCAAACCCTCCTAACTGGAGATTTGAGATGTTTATACTACAGACCTCAGACTTACACGCCTTTTATATTCAAAGGCTGCTTTCAATACTCAGTTTCATCCAGACTGCCATGCAGACTTCTAATTGAAAACACTATAAATGTGATGTAATTCATATGCTGTTTAATGCAGTTTGTGGGCCGATTACTATGTTCTTTTTTTCTTAAGTAATGTATTGGGAACAACTGATCTAAATAAATAAGCTTTGAAGTTGGTATTTTTTTCTCTTTAAATTAAACTGGTAATTTAAAGTTTGCTGAATGGGTGAGGAGCTGGGGGTTTTTTTGTTTGGTTTTGTATTATTCAGCATTGGATGAAGTTCCATTTCCAAGTGTTTCGGTAGTTTTCTATGCCAGAATGACTCCCAAGTTGTCCCTGTATACATGTCAAATAACAAATTTTCAACAGAAATTAATGCCATGAACTGGAGCAAAACTGATCTATATGAGAAGCTGATTATTGTTGTGCTAGGGCTTGGGCCAGACCTGCTAAAATAACTGAATGACCAAATTGTCTTCAAGTCTAGTGATAGCTTCTGCTCTAAGGCTTGAAGTGTGCAGCCAAATAACTTGCATTGCCTGCGTAGCATCTTAAAGCAATAAGCTGCTTCTTTCAATAGGAATTGTTGAACTCTTAATGCTTGTTGCAGGTTATGGTAAAAATCGTTTGGGACGCAGAAAGAAGATAGCAGGGAAGAAACGTTCTTACGGAGTTATTACTGGCTTGGCAGCCAAGAAGGCAATGGGTTCACGCAAAGGAATTAGTCCTTTGAACAGACAGCCACTTAGCGAGAAGGTAATTAATGCAATTCTAGTGGCTCATGTAAGAGCAGATTAAAAGAATGAAACATAATGGCTTCAGAACCGTGCTACTGAAATATAAAATGGAGACATCTGGTACAACCTTTTATTAAATTTGGGATGGTTTAGCTGAGTTTGTTTTGAGGGGGGTAGTTAATGACTAGGTTTGAAAGTTTTGTAAGACTTAATTGGGTAGCAAGTCATGAAAATTGAAGCACAGAAGTATGTTCTGTGCAAGTATGGAGGTAATTACTGTATTTTTACAAGAAAAGCTCAGTTATTAACATTTCTTGTCTTTGCATTGCTTTGTTACAAACAAATAATTTGGCCAATGTGCAGGTGTTAAGCATGTGCCTGTTACAACAATGGAAGTTTTTGCAAAATGTTTAACTCCTTCAGTAGGCTCCCTCTTCAGCACTCCTCCAGTGCACTGTTGCCGGCTCCATTTCATTCAGTATTGTGGAATGGGGGGTTGCTTTTGGATTTGTGAAGAAGAGTAATTTTAAGGATGTGTGGAGCGTGTGTTTTGTCAGATTAGGGAGATATAGTAATCAAAAAGTGACTGCTAAGCTATGTGTTTGGGTTTTTTGCTCCTGGTAATGAGGGGAATATAGAATTCATGAAAATGTAGAAGATATTTTCAAATTATACTAGACTGTGAAAGGTAGGCAAAGCCAAATGTATTCTATATGCAGTTTGTAAATGGAAATTGAAGGAAAATGTTTGTGTGTATACAGTATGTATATATGACATATTTATTGGGTTTTTAAGAACGCACAGCGAAATTATCCAGTTTTGAAAAAGAAAACAAACCTACAGAGACAATCTGATATGCAGAGGAAACAAGCTCCAGCCCTCAGGAGGCCTGCCTCGCTAAACAGAAGGTAAAATAGCATGTCTGCTTCCTGAACTCTTCTCAACAACTTTCCATAGCAAGTCTTGTTTGAGAGGACTGAGTCCCAGAGAAGATGGTAGGTACTGGCCATAATAATATGGTCAAGACTATCATGTATGAAGTTCTACAAATCTGGAAGCCAAGCATGGGACAAACATGGTCTCAATACAAAGCCAGATATTTATTACCATGTAGAGCATTCAGGAAGTACCTCTATTTGTGAGCACTTGGTATTCTGCCTTCGTATAGATCGTAGGCAGCCTACATGGAAATGGCCAACATGGGTTTCAGTAGCTTTGAAGTGACAGCCATGGTTTAGTGAACTTTCTAAATAAAATGCCTTTGTGGAACCTGGTGCCGTCTTCAGTTTCATGGAAGCTATTGCACATTTTATTTGTGCTGGAATTAACATGTCTGTTATGAACTGCATCTTAACTGGTCTCCGTGGTGAAAATTTTCATGTGACACTATTGTGGAAACTGTAAACAACCTTTCTTTATACATATCAAGACTGCTCCTTTATTTTTTTCTTTTCATCTAATCAGCAATATTTAAAGTGTTGGAGGATACTGAGCAAAGTAAAAAGCAGAATTAATAACCATAACGTCATGTGATGTAGGAGTGCTAGGCTTCTATGTAACAGAAGTGATTTCTCCATTTATGAGTAGCGTGTTTTGTTCCTAGTAGATGAGAAGCTCATTGCAACTGAAGTGTTTGGCCTCAAAGAGGCAACAGTTCAGATGTCCTTAGGGATGTATTGGGCAGTTTCCCAACTTTCATAGTGGTCTCTCTAAGGTGTTATCTGTTGAGCCTTTGATAACTATATTTTAATAAATATTACAGGAATAACGTGCCGTCCACTTTTGCCAGAATTGGAAACAAACTAAATCAGCAGAAAGACACTCGTCAAGCAACTTTCCTGTTTAGAAGAGGCCTGAAGGTAATAAAAGTTACTGAAAATAACAACAAAATTGTGCCACAGGTTCTAAGCTAACCTATAACACTGATACTAATGAATCATCTTTTGAGTATCAGATCGTGAGTAGAAACTTCAAGTGGACTAGGCAATAGGCACAAGTTCTGTTAGGGAAATGTGCTTGTCCTCTTCAGTTACTGTAACCCATTGAGTCTTGCTTCCTGTTACAGTGTAGCTGGACTGTTCAGAGGGATGTGGAACTTAGGAAAGTGGGGGAAGTTGCAAGGTATTCATTTGTCCTTTTAAAAGGAAATGTTGGAAAGCACTGTGCAGCTTTTAAAATTTGCCTTCGTGTGAAAGATAGAGCAGAAATGTTTTAAAATCTGATTTTTTTGTTTGTTTTGTTATTTTGGTGTTATTTATTTAAATTATTTTGGTTACGTAAGGATTTTTTTGTTATTTTGAGTATGATCAAGAGAATAGAGAGTTTGCAGTGAATAGTTGTGGTGTTCACGGTTTTCGTTTGTGCCCTCATTCTACATCTGCTATCGTTGTGACTGTAAGTAGCTGCTGTCTTCCATCCACATGGATAGCAGAATTACAGACAGGATCAGGAGGAAGAAAAACAAAATCAAAGTCATTCAAAACAGCAGCAGGACTTAGCAACATATTGGATATTATGTATGTTAACATTGATCACATTAGGAACTAGCCAGGTTTTTCTTGCTGGCCTGGTAACATTTTGGTGTATCTTGGTAAAGTGTATGTTTGCTGACATAGTCCTCAAAATTGTTTCTATCTGTTTATTGGTTAAGTTAGTGTCATTGACAATTTTGTTTAAATCATTTTGTGTTCTTAAAGTAATTTCTTTGTGTACAAAGAAACTTCAAAGTGTACAAACAAAATTTCAAAGTGTGCAAACAGCTTTAAAATTCTCTTTTGAACTTATGTATTTCCAGCTGCTACAATGGGAGTTGAAACAGTATGCAAATCCAGTGTCTGTATTGATGTGTTTTCAGGTGCAGGCCCAAGTGCAGTCAACAGATGATCTTGATAATCAGACAGTAAAGAGAACTCGTCAGTAAGTATTTAATTTAGAAAACTTCAGTTTGCTTACTCATACAATTCTCATCTTAGTTCTGGCTTCCTGGCTATGATAATTGAATGATTTTTTTTTTTTCTCTGTAGGCGTATCAACCGAGTGACAGTGATCGTCCCCCTATTCTTAGTTATTTCCTAAATTATATTTAATTTAACCAGGAGGAGTTAGTTTGCGTAAGACACTTGCAGGAATGAGGGGGAAGGTGATAGCTTCAGAGGATCAGACTAATCTCTACCACTCATGAATGCTGCCTAGAGTGGAAGAAAAATACAAATGTCAATGTTCTCCTGAGCTCTTGATGTGATTTCCATTTTATTTAATATACGTATAAGCCTATGGAGCAGTTTAGAAATAAGGCAAGTCACAAGGTGGATACTCAGCTCTCTCCCCACGTATTCTTCCCTTATCATTCTGTGCCTGGTAGGCTCTTCACAACTAGTTTATTGGTAACACAACAGGCTGAGTAAGCAGTGTATGCCACAGACCTGCAGTCTGTCATCTCTTTGATTTGCTGTGAGGATGATTTTGGCCCCATCTGTGGCAAGGAAACGGAATGTTTTTAAAAAAGTAAACATCTCAGTTTATGCACACCTTGCCAGCATATGATCTAATACTCACCTGGATAGATTTAGATAATGTAAAATATACAAGAATCAGTAGCCAAGTTTCTTGCAGATTGTTTGACTGCCTGTGATCTTTGTACTGGCCTATATTCAAAAAGCTTGTATGTTCTTTACTAGCCAGTGTTTTGGACAAACATTTAAAGATACTCTGACTGAAATTTCTGCAATGTTTTTGTAAGTGATTTCTGTGTTTTCAAACTAGATGGCGAACTTCTACCACAAGTGGAGGGATTCTGACTGTGTCTATTGACAACCCAGGAGCAATCATAACCCCAATGTGAGTTTTCAAAAAAGTTCTGAAATGTTCTTAAAATAACTGAAATTGCTGTTCTGACCCATTTAGCAAGTTCCTTGCTGATAGTATTTCAGGTGACCTCAAGGTCACGCCTTCTTGTGAAGACTTTTAAATCTGGCCCTTTTCTGAGTGTTTCTGAGCTGTGTTTGAATAAAATCACAGTTAAATTTCACAAGGCATCTCCCAGTTAGGAGCTCGATGTGGTGGGCTGGTAGATTTTCACCTTGTCTGCCTCTTCCAAATCAGACCTCATTGCAGCTGTTTTCCTCCCCTATATGAATGAAAATGAACGAGCATCTAGTTAATGGTAATAGTTCCTCCTTGATTCATAAAGATACTGCTAGAATTGTGCTTAAAGAAAGCATTATTGTGTTTTTGGGAAGTTCACGGTACTGTTGTTTCATGAGGTGGTGTTTTGGTTTTTAAATCTCTGAGTTGTTTTTTTCATTAGTAGCGTTTTATCTGTAAGGAAGAGTGTACCATATTTTTTTTTTTTAATTTATGGGAATAATTAACGACAAATTATGCATTTTTCAGTAGGATTGAGAGATAAAAGATAAGATTCCTGTTGGGACACTTGCTATCTGATAACAATAACAAATGCTACCCTTTTATAGTTCTGCCTGACTTCTGCCTTCTTGAATTTGTGCCCTCCAGCTCTTCAGCCAGCCTGATCAAATGGCTTAATGAAAAATTCATGCCTCTATCAGCATTAAGGCTTTATTGCATAAAACACGTATTCACTGTGTCCTTTGTAACATTATTCTTTCACAGTTCCCAGAAATTACGATTAACTCGTACTCCTGTGCCACCATTTCTGATGAAGAGGGACCAATCTGAAGAGAAGAAGATTCCCAAAGGGGTTCCATTGCAGTTTGATATTAATAGTGTTGGAAAACAGGTAAATGTTGTTTCTTTCCTTAACTGTGGAAGTAGTTTCAAGAGAGAAAAAAGCCAGTGAGGCAAGAACTTTCCTCCTAGGCTCTCTAGTGACAGAAAGAGGGAACTAGTGACTACTTCTTGTTTTCACTTCCAGTTCTTCCACTGACTTGCTATATAACTTCAAGCAAGTAACTAAACTTACTGTTCCTGTTCCTCTAGTTGATGTCTTGTATGCCCATATGCTTTAAATGGGATTTAAATTGTTGAATATTACTAAAAGCCTTCTGGTGTTCCTGCTGTGCTTGAACCAGCAAGTGTGTGTAATTCAGGGATGAGCTTCTTTCAGTTGTGTAACCTGAATGGAACCCTGACAGCTGAATTTATAAGGCAACTTTTGCTATGCATCTAGGAAAAAAAATTCAAATGTGGTGACGTAAGGGGTGAGGATGTGGGTCTGGATTTGTTCCTTCCATGAATAAGCAGTATGTCAAAAATAGTCTACTACTGTATTGTACAATTAATTGAAATTTTGGACTAGACTCCAGTCTATTGCCTCAACTGGATGGACTGGAAAGCAACCTGCGTTAACATGGTTAAAGTGCTGCGTTTGTTGGAGTTGCATAGAATCCGTATGGGGAAATGAGTGCAGTGAAAGTGCCCTTTTCAGTCTGTTTGTCCTCAGTTTAACTTACGCTATTTTGAGTAGACTTTCAGTCTTGACACGGTGTACCATGTATTCTTAATGAATACTGAGGAATGCTAGCTCTTGATATACAGTCCAATCTGATTTTTAAATGGTGCAGTAAATTGGGAAATGATGAAATCAAAGCTTTTGTTTTTATCTGAGTGAGGCAATTAAGAAGTCAAGTGATGATACAGAATGAGGAAAAAAATATTCTTGTTGCCGTTACTTTGATTAAATTAACCTAACATCTTTTACTTTTGTGGTGAAATGACTTTATTTTTCAGACAGGGATGACGTTGAATGAACGTTTTGGGATCCTGAAGGAACAAAGAACAGCGCTGTCTCAGAACAAAGGAAGCCGTTTTGTAACAGTGGGCTAACCTGACAGATGAACTTGAGGACTGATCCCACCTAACTAAGAAACTGAGATAAAAGTTGGCAGAAGAATACAGTGTATGTCACTGAAATTCTCCAGACTTCTTGCTAAGATGGTGGCAGAGCAATCTATCTATATTACTTTTCCTTTGAATGGTAAAAGACACATGCCCTGAGGGGGAAAAAAGTGGGGAAACTGATCCGCTGGAGTGGCACCATCACCTGGTTGGAAAAGATTCTGTTGCCCAGCTGATGACCAACACTGACTTTGGTTCATCTTGCAACCAAAACACAAACACGAATTTTAAAAGTGGTTTTTGTTTTGTTTTGTTTAGGAGTATTCAGTATCTGTTCTTTGACCCCTCTGTTATGGTAAAGATTGTGTGTTTCATTACAAACACCATTTTAGGGTTTTTTAGGGTCTGCCTATGAGCTTTCCTTTGGACTGCAGTTTGGCACAGAGCCTCAGTCCACGAATACTTTGGTAGTGATGTAGCGGCGTTTTTCATGGGAGCATTGGTTGTACTTCTTTGTGCTTTTGAAGTTCAATTTTTTTTCCTTTCTTGAAAACTAAATGTTTTGCGTCCTGAGTTTCACAAATAAAGCTGTTAGCTGAGACCCAAACTATGTAATTGGGATGGAGACTATTCCACTCTTATCCTTAAAAGTGGTCCAGATCATATTGGAGGAATACTGCGCAGGCAGTAAGGGAGTAATTTATATTGCAAATAGCTCAAGTTCATTGATCTCCTCTGTAAATGGAGTATGTCTGTCTCCTATTTTTTCTTAAACTTTTGCTTTCTATTTCTTTTTGTAAGTTTTTTTTTTTTCACAAACTTAATGCAATAACTTCACATTTTTGAATAATTTCATAGGAATAAATGCAACAGTTCACAAGAAAGTCAGTGGTACGGTAGAGTTCCTTACCCTCCCAGACATAAGATTCTCATCTTGCACACCTTGCCCCAAAGGGTTTTCTCTGGCTCTTACAAATAGCTGGAGGCAAGCAATCTAATGGCACTTGTTTGTGTATACCAAAGAGAGGTAAGATGTGAAGGTGATCGGAAGGGGTCAGATGTCTTGAAATAGGCTGAAACTGGGGAACGCTGCTGGAAGAAAGCCCTCAGTTTGCCAGCATGTGTAAGACATTAAGTAGGAGAGTGTAGTAGCTTACTTTAAGCTTGGCTTTGTGCATCAGAATCTGCAGGATGGTTACAACTGGGGCATCCTTGGTGTGAATTTATATGATCCCTAAAGATGAGGCACCTGTTCAGAATTGCTTCCAGACCAGGAACTGATGAACTTACAGAACACTGTTCTATAGCAATGAGATTTAGGTACAGTCAGGTAAAAGAATGGTTGGCTTGCTGCATCCAGAAACGTTTATGGTGTTTGAAGTGGGTTTAATTCCTTTTATTGTTCTTGAAGAATTTCCATTTGACTTCTTACAGATTTGATTTCCTTGCATTTTCATCTAAAATTCCAAGTTAACTAGCATTTACTAGGAACTTCAGCACTGAAGAGCATTTGACAGTAGAAGGGCTTTTGTTCATATAGCAGTTTTAAAGTCAGAGTGCATACTTGATGCTATGTAGTACTTAAACCCTTATTTTTAATGTTAAAAATATACCTTAGGAGAAGCAAACTAAATGTAATGGTGTTAAGGTTTTTTTCTTAATTACTAGTAGGAAAATTTTTTTGGAAAAAATATCCCACTGTTAGAATTTGAGTAGATAATGTGTTGTCAGTCATCCTGTTTAGTGTATACATTTTCCATGTGCCAGGATGCAACAAAAAATTCTTTTGCATCAACATAGATGCAAAACATTGATGCAATGCATCAAAAAATGCTAGTTTGTATTTAATGAGAAGATGCTTTACACTGTACCTTTTGGTATTTTTTGGAGAAGTTATTACATTTGATCTATTCTGAAGCTGTTAATTTTTTTTTAATAAAAAGTTACAGGTTTCATACTGTCTTGTTCCTGTTATAACCATCTGGGCAATATATTGGTTACGTGAGTTTTCTGATATCCTTCAAGGGGTTCCTAATGATTAAATTCTTAAGTGTTATGAAGAGTATACCAAAAAGCAGCCTAATTTAGAGAGCTTTCATTCATTGCCCAGCTTAATATCCTGAAAATGAAGCACTTCTTGGAGTGGCACCGTATGAGCTCACTTGCATTTAAATGTGTCGGCTATTAATGTACTTTTCAGTACCACCATCTAATTTAGTGGTTTGGTGTGATTGTAATACCAGATCCCTTAATCTGTCGGCCCAAGCACTGGCTTTCATGTTGTTGTGACATGTCTTGCTAACGAGAAGTCGCTGTAATCTCAGCCTTGTATTACAGGATCAGCACGAACACCCTGATAAAGGACTGCGGTTGCGTTTTTGAGCACAGGAGGCTTGCGTAAGCAGTGGAAGCACTGCTGTTAATGTGCAGGGAGAAAATACTGCCTGGAAATATACTTGATAAGGTGTTGAGTATGGTTGAGTGCTTTGGCCACCTGACTATATACAGTCTGTTCTTCCTTACCAGCTCAGGTCTGTGTGGTTGCCAGCTTCAGGTGGCGCTCAGACATGCAGCAGTTCCCAGCGTGAGCAGCAGGTCAGCGCTTTTCCTGAGCGACACTGGCATTTATTCTGACGCTGCAAAGAGTGTGACCTTTTAAGGATTGATGACATCAAGGAAAAACACATGAAGCAGCTGCTGCTTTTCTTATCTAATTCAGATATGTGCGTTTTCTCCTTGGTTTGCTGCTGGAGTGGGTCTGACATGCCCTGCGGCCATGAGCGGTTCTCACCCAAGAGCTGACCTGTGCTGAGCAGCCGGCGTGGCATCCCACCCTGGTGGGTAAACTAGAATCTTTCTGAATTTCAGAAGGTGTACTGGCACTACATCCATGTTCAAGGGGAGGCGAGCACCCTCGCACGCCAGATTACCTCAGAGGAGTGGAAAAATCTGACCCGAAAAGAGGATGTTTCAGGTTATTTTAACGAGGTGCTCGGGGCCGT